TTCCATTCTACTATAATGCACTTCACAGGATCCATCCATTTCCCCAGAAGTTTTTAACTATTATCAAATATAATGTCGGAATTGGCCATGGATCCCACTAATAATATTCCATACGGTCAAATCTGATTCTAACGCACTCCATACAAATCCCAAGACATCTGCCTAGTTTTGAATGTCATTTTGATTTGATCTAAATTACCCAGCATCTGGTTGTACAATCATGATGATAATCATAAATGAAATGAGATTGAGGCGTAAAAAAAGAACTGCAAAAATCATTCAGATAATTAAAAGGTAGTGATAACCATACAGTATGTTAAGGTTACAGGCATGCATCTATAAATTACATGGAAATATTTGCATATAGATATGGAATGGACAAAGTGGCCAGTTTTGAATACTGTGCAGATATTTGGGGTTTGGGTTGATCGCACTAAATTAAAACTTTACAGAACAGACAACACATAAATCACACTTGATCCACTCATCCGGTGTGTATCGCCACGTCCTTTCTAACTTATGCAATAGATTGGAATATACCCGCACACATGAGCCTGTGCTTTGACTGACTGCTGATGCAGAGATAATGAGATGCTTTACTGAGCTACGAGTGGTAATTGCCTGGGCTTGGTGTGTGAAAATCAAGGCCATTTCGTGTTTCTGTGTCATTGTCGTCCTGGATCACACCTGTTATCTGTCTGCTTGAGCTGACTGCAACCAGACACTTATAGTTCACACACTCTCACTTACAGTACTCTGCTTAATCATTTCTGTTTAATTCTGTCATATTCAAGGATATTGTTGTGTGCTACATTTGGTCGGCATTGCTGAGGCTTTTAAAATCCAGCCATTTTGGCTATCGTTTCCTTTAGTGCACAAACACTCGCTTGCATTGATTTATGATGCTTTGCTAGAAGACAGTCAGGTGTTGAAAGGATGATATCTCAATATCTGTCTATCTTCATCTGTGCTTCTTCCCTGGCCTCATCAGACAGACAGAGAGAGAGAGAGCTTGCACACACATTCCAGTTTCAAAGAGAAATCTTGCAGAGATTCATCAGTTATCATCACAAAAAGAACACTATGTGACTGATCTGCCATCCAGCCCATAAAAAAGCCAAAAAAATGAGAGCTTATTATGATATTAAAAATAAACTGCTAACAATGTAATATTACATTGTTAGCAGTTTATATTTAATATCATAATAAGCTCTCATTTTTTTGGCTTTTTTCTTATTATTTTGCTTATCAAAACATTGCATGGAATGTTGCATTTAATCTAATAAAGGTAATGACATATTTTTTTCATACTTGCCCCATTTGGAGGCCGGATCAAGTGTAACCAGAATAAGTGCTGTTATAGAGACAAATGTTGCTTTTAATAAACTATGCCACTCAAAACACCAATAAAGACAGACTGCATATAAATTGCTATATTGGGTCAGATCATTGCAACACTGACTGCCCTTTCCACTATAAATTGGTCTCATTCTCACTTTCCGGTTAACTCACACTGACACATACACAAACACAGACACACAAGCTTTCCACTTAATGATTTTCACACTTCACAAGTCATTTTCGCTGCCCCTTAAACACAACCCTCACAGAAAACTTTCTGCATTTCTAAATTTACAAAAAAACAAAATTTAGGATGATTTATAACCTGTTTTCCTCATGGGGACAAAAAAATGTCCCCACAAAAATGTATGGCATTTCCATGCTAACTATCTTTACTATCCTAACGTAGGGAATACCTGAACCACACACACACTAAAACACTAAAGCACTAAAACCATAAAAGAAAATAAATAAATGTAATTCACAAATCCGTCAGTGAGCATTCTTAATTAAAGGTTTAAATGTTGTGGTTTGGATGTATGTTTCGCAATTCAGCCATTTATGTGATGAATAGCCCTTGCTGGCATTTCTGTGGTCAATGGCTGTTTAGCGCAAACTTGGTGCAACATCAGGTTGCGCTTTTTTTTGCACAAATACTGAGACACAAGCATGCAAGTCCACATTGAACTATGACCCTATGGTTATACTTTGCCTTTACAACAAATTTACAACAATCATCATTCTCCACTGCCATTTTTATATAAAAGTCTCAACAAATCTAGTAATCCTTATGTGTTCTGCTCTAACATGCCATTCTCACTATACTTCTGTCTCCTTAGGGCAGATTTCATACTTTGTGGAATTTAATCATTGCATTTACTGATTCTCAGCAAAACAGAGAAAGCTATCGTGGATTGAGCCCTCGACTCTTTTACAGCACTGAATAGCAACAAACACTGTCTGTCATGCACTGTAAAATTTGCTTGATCCATGAGGTTATCAACGAAATGCTTATGCTTAAAATGTTGCAGATTTATGTTGCTAATGAGAATCTCTGAACCTATATACAGGTCCTTCTCAAAAATTTAGCATATTGTGATAATTATTTTATAATGTAATGATAAAAATGAAACTTTCATATATTTTAGATTCATTGCACACCAACTGAAATATTTCAGGTCTTTTATTGTTTTAATACTGATGATTTTGGCATACAGCTCATGAAAACCCAAAATTCCTGTCTCAAAAAATTAGCATATCATGAAAAAGGTCTCTAAACGAGCTATTAACCTAATCATCTGAATCAACTAATTAACTCTAAACACCTGCAAAAGATTCCTGAGGCTTTTAAAAACTCCCAGCCTGTTTCATTACTCAAAACCGCAATCATGGGTAAGACTGCCAACCTGACTGCTGTCCAGAAGGCCATCATTGACACCCTCAAGCAAGAGGGTAAGACAGAAAGAAATTTCTGAACAAATAGGCTGTTCCCAGAATGCTGTATCAAGGCACCTCAGTGGGAAGTCTGTGGGAAGGAAAAAGTGTGGCAAAAAACGCTGCACAACGAGAAGAGGTGACCGGACCCTGAGGAAGATTGTGGAGAAGGACCGATTCCAGACCTTGGGGGACCTGCGGAAGCAGTGGACTGAGTCTGGAGTAGAAACATCCAGAGCCACCGTGCACAGGCGTGTGCAAGAAATGGGCTACAGGTGCCGCATTCCCCAGGTCAAGCCACTTTTGAACCAGAAACAGCGGAAGAAGCGTCTGACCTGGGGTACAGAGAAGCAGCACTGGACTGTTGCTCAGTTTTGCATGTCATTCGGAAATCAAGGTGCCAGAGTCTGGAGGAAGACTTGGGAGAAGGAAATGCCAAAATGCCTGAAGTCCAGTGTCAAGTACCCACAGTCAGTGATGGTCTGGGGTGCCATGTCAGCTGCTGGTGATGGTGCACTGTGTTTTATCAAGGGCAGGGTCAATGCAGCTAGCTATCAGGAGATTTTGGAGCACTTCATGCTTCCATCTGCTGAAAAGCTTTATGGAGATGAAGATTTCATTTTTCAGCACGACCTGGCACCTGCTCACAGTGCCAAAACCACTGGTAAATGGTTTACTGACCATGGTATTACTGTGCTCAATTGACCTGCCAACTCTCCTGACCTGATCCCCATAGAGAATCTGTGGGATATTGTGAAGAGAAAGTTGAGAGACGCAAGACCCAACACTCTGGATGAGCTTAAGGCCGCTATCGAAGCATCCAGGGCCTCCATAACACCTCAGCAGTGCCACAGGCTGATTGCCTCCATGCCATGCCGCATTGAAGCAGTCATTTCTGCAAAAGGATTCCCGACCAAGTATTGACTTGAGTGCATAACTGAACATAATTATTTGAAGGTTGACTTTTTTTTTTGGATTAAAAACACTTCTTTTATTGGTCGGATGAAATATGCTAATTTTTTGAGACAGGAATTTTGGGTTTTCATGAGCTGTATGCCAAAATCATCAGTATTAAAACAATAAAAGACCTGAAATATTTCAGTTGGTGTGCAATGAATCTAAAATATATGAAAGTTTAATTTTTATCATTACATTATGGAAAATAATGAACTTTATCACAATATGCTAATTTTTTTGGAAGGACCTGTATTATGCAACAGATGACTTATGATTTATATTTTTGTAAAAGGTATTAATAACATCAATGTTTCTTTCAATTAAAGTTTAAAGGAAACCTATAACGTATACATTAACATGGCAGCATACTGCATCCACCAATTGACATTGCTCTTTGACCTGGATGGTTTTTGACGTACCAACAACCGTGAAAATCATTTATTTAACTGTTGTACAATTTAAAAAGTGCAATTTAACCATGAGGAACAAATTTCTCTGTAGCACTTACATTTTAAAATACTTATCTGGCACAGAGTTTTCTTTCATTTGTTTTAGTTTTCAGTTTTGTGAATGGCTGACAACTCCTCAGTTTGTGTGGCGTGATGGGATGGCAAAGTATCCACTGTTGCACACTTCAGGATCAGGTACTGTTTCATGAATAGCCTACTCATTTGACTTAGGCCTATATTGCTTTTTGCATGCTATACAGTACAGGTGTATTTAGGGCCCATATGCTCCATGCTGAAGGTGAAACAATCTTCTTTTGTAATTTAGTTTGTTTCTCCATCAGGATTCAGTAAAAATATTTTTTTGATCATCACACTATAGCAGAAAAGGTGCGTTTTCCATAAGAGGTGCGTTGTATCAAAGTTTTTAATAAATATAGATATTATTAGTCTAATTCTATACACATTGCTTCCTTTCTTTTCAGAACAATGCAATGAAAGTGTTGTCTTTTATTTCCAAATAACTGCTACTGTTTTGAACGCATGTAGCGCGTGGGCGTCGCCAGGGTGATATAGAGAGCGCGAGTCGTTCGCATGTTTACATGGGTTTTAGTGAAGATAAGCGTAGCACCCCCATTACTAACATGTCTCATGATTTTGTTTTGGTTTCGCCGCATGTATTTGCATTGCCTAATTGCGTTCAAAACATAAATGGGTGTTACTTTTAAGGTAAGTCTCCGCCCAGGGGGAGTAGCAGCGCTCCATCCACCTGCCAGACTACTTCAGCAGCAGACAGTCAGTGGACCTGAAGCGCGCGCTGCTGCTGCTGGTGGTGCTGCGTGGACAAAAATACACGAGACGGGTTTAAAAACTCCGGTCGAGAGGGGATACGTGCACTTCATTTGAACTGACACGGAATCAGTATCATAAATTAGTTTAAAGGAGCAACTACTTTGTGGACACGTGTATGCAGTTACTTTTGACTGGACGCATTGTTTTTTGTTTCTGTACGTTTTCTTTGCGCTGGATTGTAAATGGTTTGTACAGTTGGACACACAGGGTCGTTTTTGACGGACGTTTTGTAGGTGAGTTCTGCGTTAATTTCAGTTTATTTTAAGATAAACATGTATTTTATGCTTCACGTCACATACATCATACTTGTTTGTACTGAAGATCAGCAGCACAGTTGTTATCCAAATATTTTTTGTATAGGCTACATTATTTTTAAGAGGATCAGTCCATTACACGCTACTGAAATCTGATGGAAAAATATTTTGAAAGGTTTATTGAGACATGTTTTTCTAAAAATGGAAATGACAATGCTATTGATCGTTGAAGTTCATTTGCAAGTCATATGCTGATGGATCTATTTGATTTGTTTGGAATGAATGAAAAAAGCTTTAGTTGTGACAGAGATCAGCCGCTGTAAGACCAATACTTCACTGATTATTTATTTAAAGTAATTAAACATATTTATTAATTATTCTTAATCTTTTACTGCTTTTTGACACAGTTCTCATTATACCGTTACTACAACAATAAAAACCATTACGTGCATTATGAATATTTAATAAGTCAATTATTAGAAAGTGAAAGGTTTCCATAAAGAATTTGAAATAATATCTTACCATTTATCCGTAGACTCAATGTTAAGGAACCAATAACCAATTGAGTAGAAACGTGTAAATATATGGGAATAAAAATCCCTCAAACTTATCTCTATTAACAATTTCCATTTGCTACCATTGAATAAGGAGAGATGTAAAATTGAAATCATGAATATATGAGGAATTCTTACAGCTCATTTATATCTTGTCTAATGTCGATCCTCACCCCCTTACTCCCTCAACTCTCATGCAGGACCGAATAAATCTCTTGTGGGTCTTTGGATAAAGTGATCATGCAGGGAGTCGGGACTTTGGTGCTGGGGACCCTTCTGGTCTCTGTGTTCTCAGCTGTCTCGGTCCACAGCAGCCCTTTGTCTTCCCTGCCGCCCGCCTCTGTTCCACGAGTCTTCCTGTCCTTCAAAGGTAAGATGCATTTCTGTTGTCTTTGCTCTGACTGTCTCACACTGTTGCTCTGTGGATGCTTACAGCCCCTGCTGGAGATGGCATCCACTGCTTTCCTGTTCAAATCAATATAGAAATAAATACATAAACAAACAACTGCAATTGATATGATATAGATTGCATGGGAAATATGCGTTATTATTTTTGTCCTCAGTGTTTCCAGGAAACCCGAGTCTCATAATGTTAACTTTCAGTGCATTTTTAATGTGCTTCTATTCTATTGTCGTAGCCAATAAGGTTTTTTAATTGTGCTTTGTGGGAATCTCTTCAGTTTTGTGCTGAGCAAGCTACTTCCCTTCTTAGGTTACATGTCTGTTTCACCTTTCTAATTCAAGGAGTTTTCACAGTCTGCTGGCTGAACTAATTTTACTTTCTGTTGCCCGTTATTGTGTTTCTTTAATTGGTTTTTCCAACACTCTTTGGGATTGAGCATGTCTACCAGAAAGGACCTAAATTCAGAATTTGCACAACTGTGAGTTTAACCCTTGCTGGTGGAATTGGATTTCATGTTGGGTTTGTGCACGGCTCTTGGTTGGCTAAGCAATGCAATTAGGTTTTAGTTCTGAAACAGTATTTCCCATGGGATTCTCTGAACTGATTTTTTTTTTTTTCTGAATATCCATGTTCTTGGTAGCAGCCCATTTTCCAGGACTACACATCAATGATTTCTTATAATAGTTCAGTTTTATTGTAATTGTATGGTCAGGAATCGCAATTGAAAGGTATTATTTGCTTTTAAGCTTAAACTATATGTTTACAGTCTTTCCTCCAAAATGGAATACTGATACTGTATATGATATTGGTGTTGTTGGTTTCCCAGGACCTTTATGCCTAATCTTAGTGTACTTCTGTCAGTCAACATTGACACTGACCACTCTTGACTGCCAAAATATACACTGGAGACATACTACATGCTAGCACAGGATAGGATATTCCAACTTACAATATGAAAAAAATAAGATCAATGAGTGTTCTGGAGATTATCAAAACACAGTGGAACTAAAGATGAAATTAAAGATCTAGTCTGCTTTATGTAAGACGTAGTGGAGGACCTTTGGATGGATTATAGTTTTTAGTTCTGGCTACTTCTACTCCCCTGTCCAAAAGCTTTGACCAAACACTTGGATCATGTTCACCCCCTGAACGTCTTGTGAAGACGGCTACATTTGTTCAGGACTTATACTCACTAAACATTCTGTTCTCTCCCACAAACAGCTTCAAGCTTAGTGGGATCTTGTTTTGGTTTTGTACTTGGGATGTGTCATTAGAAAATCATTATGATGGCTAACCAAAATCCAGGCTTTCGTAATTGCCTGTCTCTGTGCCTGCACTCTTTGAGACACACAAAACATCCTGTTTTATATCCCTCTCAGTTGCTTAAATGTGACTATTTGAGCAATGAGGTCATCATCTGTTCGCTGTTGTAACAGGGTTCTGCGCCATTCATGCTTGCAATGAAAATGGCTTTTAAATTCCATTTCATTCTTGAAACAAACTAAACAGGGTGCAACAGGGTGGATGGAAAGATAGATAGATACTATACAATAGTTAGATTGATATATTGATTGAATGGCTGATTTTCCTGTCATTCTAAATCAGATTCCAATTCTTCTACTCGTGAGTTGTTTACAATTGAGTTTAAATGTGATCTCATGAATTAAAAGAAAATAAATTCTTCAGTTCTGAATTTTGCACAACCCTGTGTTGTTATATGTTGAATGAATACTAAAGTGTTTGATATACAGTAGTATTGGTAAAGAATATTTAATTTCGTGCATGGAGCATGATGATTCAATTTAGCTAGAAGTCCGGTTTAAGGAAAACTGCTTAAAGAAATAAATTAATACCATTTATGCAATCCTCCCTTGGGGGATTCAGGTATAATTCACAAGTCCGTCCCTCATACATAAACGCAAGCTTGAGCACACACATGAATGCACCCACGCACACACATTTACTGCGGTTCACTGAGATCCCCTTCTTTCTTATTCTTATTCTCCAGTATGAGCATGTAGGGAGGGAGGGCAGGGAACTCTGCCAGACAGAGTCAGTTTTCGGCTCTGAGGGAGGACTTGGCTGCTGTTAGCAATGTCGGGGAGTTCAGAGAGCAGATACTGGTGTCTTCTTGTGGCCTTACGCATTACAGACAGTCCAGACCACAGAAACGTCCCTGGAAGCCCAATCATCTGTGAAGTTCGAGGTCTCGGGCTCTGCAGACATGACTTATTACAAGTTGAGACTCTTTTCTATGGCTCTTCTCATCTTTTCCCTGTTTTATGGGAGTAACTATGATATATTACGTTTGCCCTTTTCTTTCACATGCACACACTTCTTTTTAAATCCCCTCTTTCCCATGTATCTCTGCAAGCTTGGGATTTACATGCTAAAAGGTATCCCAGAGGACTTACGAAGAGTCACATGACAGCCTAAGTTCATTTCTTTGCATATGCGCCCTCACATAACTCCTAGTTTTTGGACATGACAGTGGATTTATGGGCATGTTTATGCATCTTATATCACTTTACAGTGGTTAGGAGAGCCCAGGGATGATTCAAGAAGGAATGCTGTGTGTGAATTGGTATTTTGTGAGTGTGCATGTGTGTTTGAAAATGATGCCACGGGTGTTGTTTGTGCACATTGTTTTAATTTAAATTCCATTAGTAAATTCTCTGAGGGGCAGAGTGCTTATTACTCAATTTAGACAAATGTTCTCAGACAGAAAACATTTTAAAGTAAGTATCTCAAGGTGCATCAGCTACAATGTGGGGCTGATGGCAGTCTATAAATTATCGCAATTATACAAGGCATTTAAAGTAGTGTGCTTCATTTTCCTTTGCTGTTCAAGTTAACACCTGGGTAGCGTTCTTTAAAAACACTAAAACAGTCCATCTGCTGTAGATGATAGTCTGTGTGGTTTTCTAATGGGAGACTGGAAAAGCTCTTTGTTTGAGAGCTTTAGGAGTTATCATTTAATGCAAAGTGCTAATAAACCCTATCCACCGCACATGGATCCATGACCCAGAAATGTGCTTTTTTATGATGTGGATATGATGTCACACTTCAGGGCTTCTGGTCTAGTAAGAAAGCAATAATATAAAAAAAATAAGATTGTTTTTTTTAAGTTAAAATATATAGTATCAGCGCAAACTGTGAGTTTCGTCCATTTTAGAGACTCATCAGAGAGGTCAATCTGTGTTGTTTAGATTTTAGATTTTTGAAAATGACAAATTAATGTTTTATTTGTATTTATAGGTAAATATTAAAGCCATGCATGTTTGGATGAGTCTACTGTATGTGTGTGAGTTTCAGCTATGTCACTGAATGTACTGGCAGAATAACATCAAAGATATATTTATCTCTGACGTACCTACCTTCCTGGGAGCTCGCTTAGTTGCTTTATGTTTTGAAGTGTCATAAAATATCATGGTTTTATCATGCAGTTGGTGATGAACTATAGTAGATCAAACATGACCAATCTGTATTTCTTCTTATACAATATTTGCTGATAGACTTACCAGTTCTTGCAAATACCCAAAAAGTGATATGCTCAAGCTCCGGCACCTGCTTCCAGCAGCTTGTTGAGCATGTTGAAAATTATCTAGAGGTTTAAAAATATTCTTTGACCTGGGAACAATATATGTGTGTGTGCGTTTGTCTGTTCTGGAGGCTTTTTTTATCTTCAAACAAGCCCTAATAACAGCCTATTTGAGGGTGCCAGAGGCTGAGGTTGTGACCCCAAAAAAACAGAAGCAGGTCATTGTCAGGGTGATCCGTCCTCGCTGTGTGGGAAAAGTGAACAAATTCTTGCTATAAATGCTTGTAATGCTAATCCGCAGCTCTATTTAAAAGCATTTAACTCTGTTCTTGCTGTTCATTTCATTATATCTGAGAAACACCTGGATGCATAATTGGCCGTGCCTGAAAAAACTGGAAAAAGAAAATGCTATACAAATATATCCAAACACCCAATTAGACCATTAATGCAGTGAGAATATTATCTCAAAAACGGCTACTGGAAACATTGTCCGTTACAGCTTCCAAGATTATTTTGCTTTTTTGGAACGTGTTTCAATTAACATCTCATCACATTTTTGAATTCACTGGCTTTCTCTTCTCTAGTTCAGAACATATTGTATTGTGCGGCTGATGGTGATGTTTAGTGGCTTATCTTTAAATGTTGTAGAACATGTTCTCAATTCCCTTTTAACAATTCTCATTTGGTAGTTTTTTATGTAAATGAGAATGGCCTTAAGTGTTGCCAAAATATACTCAAGAAAAAAAGGCTAATGAAGACAATCAGAGAAAAGGACAAGGAATGATCTGTCTTCAATTGCAGCATTATAGGGAACAAGAAAGAAAAGTAAAAATTGGGGTGCACAGTTTTGTTTTTCATGTAATGGCTGATTCGATTATAAAAAGCTTGTTTCCGCCATGGAATAAAGCAAAGATAATTGCGACTTTTTATCTCAAGATTCTGACTTTTTTTCTTTATATCTCAGAATAAAAGTCGGAATTGTGAGATAAAAAGTCGCAATCATTTTTTTATTTTCAAATATATTGGATAAACCTACTAAAATCTACTTAATTCTGACTAAATAAAAAAATAACACTAAACACTCAAATCAGTCTTTTTAAATGCAGGATTTTGAATGCAGAAACTCAGAAAGTGAATTTGGGCATCACAACGTTTATAATGTAGGCTACAATATGAAAACTGAATATTCATTTTGGGATTTATTTAATATTACTTTAAAAAGATTATTTTTCAAGATGAACTTTAAATGAGCATTAGTAAGAAAGGCCCTGTTTGCACCGGGTATTAAGATGTATTTTGGTCGATCTGATCACAAGTGGACAACTCTTAATAAGGTTTTTGTTAACTGGGTCCAAAGCTTTTTGAGCTTGTCAACTTTCGACCACTTCTAGGTAGTCTCAAACGCATTTGACCGGATTGCTTTCGT